GAAGAAATGTTGCATTTCTAATTTTCGCTTGGAATACTATAAAAATTGCAATTATTGATAGATTACAGAACAACCTGGAGTGCTAAGGGTTAAGCCTTTGAACTCTGTAGGCTCCAATATTGCACCAGTTATAATATTAAATATAACAATAAAGTTATAATAATAAAGAAACAAATCTTAAAGAAACTAGCCTAAGATTATTCGTTTTTTCACACATCCAAATTTTCTACTAAGGAAAATAAAAGATCGAAGAAATGTCGCCATTGCCAAATGACCCCATGACATTCAACGTGTTAATTAATATCAAACTTTATAAGTTCGTAAAATCAACGACTCAGAGGCGTCTACAGAAGTGCAGAGGGATATCTCTTAACCCTTTGCACTCCGAACATTTCGAACGCCTTAATAGTTCACTTCTGTAGAGAACCATTCAAGAACCTAAAATTTCGTTTTGAACGAAAACTCACTCACGTCTTTTAATTTGTTTTCAATTTCCTATATTCGAATAGAATATAATATCTATAATAATTTCCAACGGAGTGCAAAGGGTTAAAATTTCCATTCCAAGAAACTTCAACGAATTCTCCAAAAATCTTCATCCCTCGATAGCTCCGCGAGATCAGGAACGGATGATTTTCACCGATCCAGTAGTTCCAGATAAACAGCTCGATCGCAGCGTTCAGTCGGGAGGATCGATTCGGAAGCTGATGAAGCACTCGAAGCGGATGCCAGGGGTCCGCGCGATTTGTCAGGGCGCGCGAAGTGTGACTGGCAGCAGCCAGTCCGGGGCTGGTTCCATTCAAGCAGATCTCGTTGATCTCGCCGAGCAGGAAGGGAGCGTGTAGTCCCTTGCCCTTTGATTCGGCGGTACGAGTCCGCTTCCATTCATGATCGCGGGCCTCGGTACCGCGCGACGACACACGGGAACCGACAAAACCGTCTGAGCCTATTCAGCCCGCCGTCAAATAGTTTCCCTCGGGCTCGGCTGAATGGAGATAACGATCGGCAGCCCCCGCGACAATGATATTTCGACGATCCTTGCGCGTTTCTCTCGCCTAGACCGGTAACTGGGTCTCGAGCACACCGTTTCACACTTGGAACCACCCCGGCGGTTAACCCTTTGTTTAATAATTATATGATAATTATTAAATTATGTTAATATTAATTTAAACTCGTTTTTCACTAGAAATATTCAATATTCTTCGATGAGATACCGACGAGCTTTGAAACTAATTAATGAGAAAATATATATAAATTAAGAATTTCATATATTGGTGCGTCATAGCTTAACCCTTTGCACTCGATAGTTTTTCACTAGAAATATTGAATATTCTTCGATGAGATACAGACAAGCTTTGAAACTAATTAATGAGAAAATACACATAAATTAAGATGGAAAGTTATTTTATTTCAGTATTCCAGTATCAGGGAAAAGTATAATGTTGAATCATTTGATTGAATTTTATTATTATTATTATTGGAATGATAATATTCATCTAGCTGAATGTCACCGTGTTAGATATTATTTATAACATAGAAATGTTTTAGCAAATAATCATCGTTCAATTGAAATGAACTATAGTGATTCGATTGGGGTCACCGGTGTTATGGCATTCAACGTGTTAATGTTTATAAAGCTTGTTAACACCGAAGCCCCGCTACAAGGGAACGATCGAAGTGACTTTCACGAGCACAGCTGCGAAATAAACCGAGGCAAATAGCTAAAATAGCTTCAGTGTCGCTGCCCCCCACTCGAACAACAATAAACAGAAAGTGAATTAAATAGAACAGAGCGTTGAACCAACTCCGAACCGATTGCTGGCATTCTCGATAGATTCTGGAACAGCAGGCTCACGTGAAATGCGGGTCAGAGCACACGGCCCAATATTTATTGTTAAAATCGCCGGCTCGATCTTAATGGCTGCCGGGCACGCCACTCGCGGGCCACTCGACTTCGCTCAATGTTGCCTTTCATCGGTCGCTGGGGTAATCTTTCCGAAGTGTGGCCCTGTATCGAGTGCCCCCTGCAATTCCCATGGATTCCCTCTGCGAGATGTCCATGGGAAACGAGCGTATACTTGCTCTCAAACTTCATCCCTTGTACATTTCCTTGTTAACCCCTTGCTTTGGAGCACCGTGTCTCGCGATGAGAATTTTTAAGTGAATTTGAGAGACCTAAGTGTTATTTATTGTTTTTAAATATAGATTAAATATTACTTTTCTACTATTAACACGTTCTGTGGTGCGTGTACCATTTGTGGTACACGCCCAATTTCTGAGGAAATATTTTTTGTGAAATAATATTAAAATATTGATAGAGGTCACCAAAAACTTGCATGCAACTTAATGTTTCATTTAAAAAATCAGTGCACTCGTAAGCAAGGTATAACCGAAATTTCCTTTTTTCTTTTCCTAATAAATTATTAAGGATGAAGTAGCCGTAAGGCAAGGGGTTGAATCATTCGGTTGCGACTTAGTCATCGAAATCTGAGAATTATCTCACTGAAATTCACCCGGAAAGGGTTAAAGTTACAGAAAGCTAGTAAATTCTCCACTGTTATACTATCACCAACAAATATTCGAAAATAATGTTAGCACTCGATCAATTAACCCTTTGCACTCGAGAATATTTTTCTCTACAAACTCATTATTTTCTGATGAAAGAATTAATAAATTAAGTGACAGAACTATTTTATTTCGATGTTCCACGAGTTGATACATTATATAAAAATTTAACATTGAATCTTAAATTTCATCATTTCGTTCGGTCAAATCGAATGACGACTGAAATTCACCTCCCGAGTATAAAGGGTTAAAAACATGATTGGCAATCGAACGGTTGATCGATTTGGCGAACGGCTCGTCGAACGCATCGGATCGCCAGAATTTCGCGGGACGTCCCTCGCGCGGGGATTTCTGGGAAGCTGTTCGAGAGGCGGGAGAAATAGAAGCCCGGTGGTCCCGGAATACGCGGACGCGGAAGGTTAAATTTACGCGTAAGAAGGCCGCGCGCGTCCGGAGGAATTAGTCTAGGATGATTTCACCGGGCGCACGCGCCCGCGCGTTGCACTTGAAACGCATCCGAGAGGGTCGCCGACCTCGAAAAAGACGGTAGCAACGGCTTCGTGGGAATCTCTCATTGTGGCCTGGGTTCGGACGGGGCTCGTTTTAAAATCAGCACGTAGCCGGAGAGAGATTCGTTCGTTTTTGCGCGGGAACCAGCGGACCCGGACCGATAGACGCCCGAGAACCCGCTTGGGAAGGGTCGTACGAGCACGGCGAAAGGTATCGCGGGAAATGAAAGAGAAACGGCCGCTCGTTTACCTCCTGAAGAATGATTAGCTGTTAACCCTTTGCACTCGACTGTTTCTAGACTTTACAATGTCTTCAGACTTCTTAGGCTTTTCCAGCTTTTCGAAGTTTTCAAATTTTCAGAAGTTTTCAGAGTTTTCAGACTATTCGAGCTTTTCAAATCTTCCGAAGTTTCCAATCTTTCCAAAGTTTTCAGTTTTCAGACTTGCCAAAGTTTTCAGAATTTTCAAGCTTTCCAAAATTTACAGGCTCTTCAAACTTTTCAAAGTTTCCAAAGTTTTCAGAGCTTTCAAACTTTCCAAAGTCTTCACACTTTTCAAGCTTTCCAAAGTTTTCAGACTTTTCAAGCTTTCCAAAGTTTTCAGACTTTCCATGCTTTCTAAACTCAAGCAAAAAAGTAATATTTATTTTTCTCATTATTAACCCTTAACGAATCAAAAGTATTTTAAATTCATCGCGAAAAGACAACCATAATGAAATTTATACTAAAAACAATTGAAAATGAAATTTCACTATTCACATGTCCATATTTATATTTCGTCTACTCATCTATATATCATTTTGATTAAACTTATCCTAAATCCTTTGTTTAAAGTTATATTCACAATTCTTTAAGGTTAACCACGTAATAGAAGATTACATGTAAATTCATATTACAAGGGGAAAGATTAATTACGACTGATAAAGATAGCAACTAATTAAATCAGTAATAATAGAATATAAAAGATACGTCTGGGAATTGGTACGAAATGACGAGAAACAAAGATAAGGAACACAGTTGAAAATACATATGCAAAAGTGTATGATACGCCATTGTACAATTGTAACGAGCACAATTAATAATTCGCTATCTATTAAGGATCGAGTAAAGGACGATTTCCCATCAGCGCGAGAACTAATCCAGCAAAGAATCCGCGCAGAGCGGTCACAGTTAACGGACTTCGAGTCAGCTGACTTCAGCGAACGTCCGCACTGTGCGAACTGTTTCGCATCACTTTCACTGACTTCATTGAAACGTTCTGTGTTTTACCGACGAGCTCTAACTGCGTCCAATGCGACTCTCCGCGTTGCCTGGAACATCGCAGTTCACCGTTCCAGCTGATCGAATCGTATTAATCCCTTGCGTTCGATTGTTTTTCCCTGGGCATACTTGGCATTTCACATTAGGCTCGTGAAACCCGTCGATTCGACGTATATTGAATTTTATGATGAAGTAATCAGTATATTTATTTTTAGAATCTGTTTTGACATCAATTTTGATTTATGCAGTTGCACGATATGAAATATAGATTTCTACAGGAAGTGTGACACTTGGAATTTTCAGTTAAAATTATTTTTTCAGTTGCAGCGTTTGTCAATTGAATTTTGGATATTTATAATTCATTTTATAATTGTTACTGGAAACATTGAATAGGCAATACAGAATATGTCTGATACAGACAATTAACACTATTTTTACCGGAAGTGTAGGACACTTGGAAGTTTCAGTTAAAATTATTTTTTCAGTTGCAGCGTTTGTCAATTGAAGTTTGGACATTTATAATTGATTTTATGATCGTTACTGGAAACGTTGAATAGTCAATTCAGAATATAAGAATAATATAGACAATTAACAGTATTTTTATAGAAGGTGTCGAGACACAATTGCTTGTAACATTCACAGCACACGATGTTCTCTTTTGTTTCAGGAGTAACAAGTACCTGCAAAAATCGTCCATCAGCCGCATCTGCGCTGTTGGAGGCTTCTTCATTAGCATTCCCGTGTTTTTAACTGGTAAGAATCATGTTCACTTTGTTTAACACGTTGAATGCCATGGGGGTCAACGGTGACCCCCAACCAAATCGAATTACCATAGTCCGCTCAATTAAACGATGATTATTTGCAAAGACATTTCTATATTATAAATAATACTATCTAAAACATTGATATTCAGCTAGATGAATATTATTATCATCCTAATATTAATAATAATAATAATAAAATTCAATCAAATGATTCAATATTATATTTTTTCCATTTCATGGGGCAACATGAAATCCCGCGGCGTTCAACGTGTTAAACCGCGATTGTTTCTCGTTAACACATTACTAATTACCGGCTAATTATCAGAAAATTGAATTGTGCGGATTTTCAGTGAGATCCACTTATATCACTATCTACAAAAAACTCAAATATCACATTGTTACTTAATATATTTTAAATGTACAATTATTTCTAATCAAATTGAATATTCTTTAACCCTTTGCGCACGGAGATTCTGTAAAATATACGAAAGCTTCAGCAGATGAAGCTGAATTACTTGTCAATTGCTTAATTAATATAAAAAATAATCAAAAAATAAATGTAATCAAATCATTCGTCCACGACTTAGTTTTTTAAATACTTTCATCTCGCCGAAATGTAGACATTCGTCCACAAAGGGTTAAATGCTGTGATAATTAGCAAAATTATAACTAAGAGTCTTTATGTAAAAACTAGATTTCTCGTTACCAGTACGCAACGCGTTAATATAGCGACTCGAATGAATTCTACACGACTAGTTGAAGTTTCATTGAAATGATCTATAGAAATTCTATCCATATAATTTGAATACGTAATGTGTTATTGTTTCTGTCGCGATGAAGTCATCAGATCTCTGTCCTGTCGAGCGAACCGTTCTGAAATGTACGACGATTGTTTCAGGTATGATACTGTACACGTTCATCCAGTTCCATTCGACACCGGCCATTGTCACGTCGGTTTTCATAGGACTCGGCATCGTATTTTGCGGATGCGCGATGGTCCATAACGTCTTCGTGTGGCAGAGGGTGAGTATACAGTCTAAAATACAAGCAACCCCATAGAACGTTGCAAATCGAATTACTGTAATTCACTCAATTAATCCTTTGCACTCGAAAAATTTGTCAGAAATATTCAATTTATTTCTATGAGATATAGATGACTTTTTTTCAACTTAACGAGGGATGTATCGACAAAATAAGGGGAACAATGGTATTTTAGGTAGCATCGCCTTGGAACCATAGAGATCGATGGTTTGTTGTTTTAGAATATTTAATTCTTTGCACTCGAAAAATTTGTCAGAAATATTCAATTTATTTCTATGAGATATAGATGACTTTTTTTCAACTTAACGAGGGATGTATTGACAAAATAAGGGGAACAATGGTATTTTATTTCCCCATTTCACGTGTCGACAGATTACTCAAGACTTAATGTTAAATATGGAATTTTACAATTTTGATGCACCAATCGAGTGGTGACTGAGAGGCACCTTTAAAATTATTTTTAAGATTTAAAGTTATACATAAGAATAACATTAATAGCTTTCAATAAACGTACTTCCCTTACAACATAAAAACAGCATAGTTCCCGAACCGCAACTAAAGCCTATTTGTTACATCAGTTCCTTGTTCCTCGTACATTGTAGGAACCTAACGACCGTGTTACAAGGGGGTTACCCGTATAATTAGATCATTTGGACGAGCAATTTTTCCGCCGTAAGAGATCCATTCATTATTCCCCGCGAGAAAGCTATTCATTTTCTCCGCGAGAGAGCTACTCTTCATAGAAAATCGTTCTCGCAAGACTGAGATTATTCCATTACCTATTCTATTCTTCAGCTGTTCCCCTCCGTGAACAATATTTTCCCCCATAGCGAACTTTCTCCTATCCGAACACTCGACACCGCGCTTAAACATTCGAGCCGAAAACAGCGTCTTTCCTAACCGTTCCGCGCCGGCGGAACCCGAGACCGCGATCCTCGGCGTATTAATTGATACCGTCGAGTAGGGATATCATTACCCGATGATCATCATATACTACTGTCGCCGTGGTCGTTCCCATAATCACGGGACACCGCGGAGCAAGGCGAGGCTATCGTGGATTCGATTACGGAATAGCTCTCGGCGAGCAACACGCAACCGCTCGCCGGTACTACAGGTTCACGTGAAAAGGCTCGATTGAGTCGTTCGCGTGAACCACCGATGGAACAGGCCGGTATTCCCATCGATATCTCGCCTGTTTACCGTAAGCACCTTTTAATTCCCATCAGGAGTCCGCGGGGGACCCGTTACGCCTAGCCGACACGGCGAGCTCGTTCGATCGAGCCGACCGATCAAAACGGATCTCCGGCGAACAACAGTATCCGTAAATTGTCCACTGGACACTCGTGTCTGTTTGATCGCGCGATAATAACCTTAGACTAATTAGCGACCGTGAGCCATGCTCGTAATAGAGAATCCTCTGTCCATGTTGAGAATACTTCGACGAGTCGAACTTAAAGAGCTGTTGCTTTATCGAAATGATTAGACCGGCGAAATAAAAATAGTAGAGTTTAATGAAATTAGGTATGTAAAGAATAATTGAGGTGCTTTGTGACTCTAAACTAATTAGTTACGGTGCACTATATTCGCAATACAGAATCTTTCGACAGATTAACAAATATGAGTTTAGCAAAAGGATTTAATGAAATCCTATATATAAGGAACAATGAACACTTTGCACTCAAGAGGTGACTCTCACTCACCATTTCATTTGATATACCAAAATTTTAATCATTATAGTCATTGCAACTGCAACTAATTTTTATAGTATTCCTAGCGAAAATGATAAATGCAATATTCCTTCGATCTTTTATTTTCCTTAGTAGGAAATACCTTCTTAGTATCGAAGATATAGATTATTAGATGATATCGAGATGCTTACGTCAGACTGTCATCTGGACATTTATTAAACATTCTCGCTCGATATTAGGTACCTAAGAAATTAATCCTTAGCGCTCCAGGTTGTTAATCTATCAGCTGCAATTTTTATAGTATTCCTAACGAAAATGAGAAATGCCATTCGACCTTTTACTTTAATGAATAATCCTCCACTCTATAAACAAACTCCAACCCTTAATCTACCCCTAGAATAAGCTAAGTAACGAATATAACCGGTGTTTCCACTAAATTCGTCCACTTTCCAGGAGAAGACGAACGCGGTGAAGGCGTTGGCGCGCGAGCAGTGCGAGGCCGCGGTGCAGCTGCAGCGGCAGCAGCAGCTACAGCAGCACCAGGGCGGCTCCCATCACCAGCACCAGCAGCAACAGCTGCACCGTGGCCCGTTGACGCACCACGCCGGCTACGCGACGAAAATCGGCCCCCTGGCCGGCCAGACGAACGCGACGAGCCACTCCAGCCACGGCCGGGCCGCGCACTACCAGCACTACCATCATCATCACCATCATCGGCACGTGTCGATGTCGCCGCCGCCGCTGTTGCTCTCGTCGCCGGCGCCGATCGCGGCAACGCACAACCACCTGAACGTCAGCAGCCACCGGAACATAGTCACCCCGCCGGACACGCCGGGCGACAGGTCGCCGCCGAGTCCCGGCAACAAGCTGAACAGGTCCCAGCATCTGACCAGAGAAGCCAGTGGCAGCGTCAGCCCGGGACTACCGGCTGCCACCTTGGACCTCAGCAGCGCGGCGACCACCAACAGCCCTCACGAGCTCTCCACCTTGGTCTAGGCCAGTGTCCCTCCAGCCGGAGCAGTTTGAATGATTCGGAGGGCGATTGGAGTGACGTTCGTTGTTCTTAACACTTGACGGATGGTTGTGTATTTTTTTGGGGATTTTTGGAGGAGTTGTAAACCTGCGAGCGTTAACCGTTTGGATGCTAAACTTTTGTGGATAGTTAGAAATGCGGAAGTGATTGAATATGCAAAGAAATTGAGTACTTATCTAATGGGATCACAAATATTGTGTTATTACAAAAGAATAACGTTTATTCAAGTAAATTTGTTTTGATTTATTTCTTGAAGAATATAGTAAGAAAGTTATTGTGAATAAAAATTATTACAAATTATAGTAAGGAAATTAGCAGTCCTCAGCACTCAAACGGTTGAATTATTGCTGATTTATTCAATTAGTATCGTTAACACTTTGACTGGTAAACATTTATTGAAAGTACTCTTAGTAATCCAGAAACTAAAGAGTCAAGATCTATCTTCCTTGTATATCATGCATCCAAAACTTTATTCGATACATCAAGAGAATTCATGTTTAGATTATATGAGAAATAGTGACCAAATTTGGGTGACATGGCAGTCAAAGTGTTATAATGTTGAGAAATCAGTTTCATTTCTAGTACTCGTCACTGGCACTATTGAGTTAACCCTTAGAACTCCAGATGGTTTTGTAATCTATCAGCAACTGCAACTAATTCTTATAGTATCCCTAGCGAAAATGAAAAACGCTATAACATTTCTTAGATCTTTTATTTCCCTTAGTGCAAAATTTGGATGTGTGAGAAATCTAATAATTAAATAAATATCTAATATTATTCCTGGTGCAATATTGGAGCCTACAGAGTTCAAAGGGTTAACATGAAAATATAATTCTATATGTACCGTCCGTCAAGTGTTGAAAGTTCTGGTAAATGCGCGGTTCAGCTTTTCCCAGCTTTGGACTATCTTGCTGAGAGGTTTATTGTGAACTTAAACTTAGTTGCAATGGATCTTGTAAGACAGCATTAAGCAGATAGTAAGAACTGGAAGAAGTTGGAATTGAGCGTTTACCAAAATTCCTATGTACTGGCAATAAATTGTTGATATTGTAATTCTGATGGTCTGAGAAGACGTCAACGCTGTAGCCGCATATATTGATGTTGAAGTTTGTTCTTGGTTTATTACATCCAAGCGCCTAAACAATGTTGAGAAACGCTGGTCTAAGGGAGCTCCACGAACACGCTATCGTCTCCGGCTAGAACAATTGAACCGACCGTTTCTACGAGCAGTTTTGCACATTCATTGGAAAGACAGGCAGCCCTGTTTGCGAGAAATTAAACGAATTCACACTTACACATTCGTACCGAGTTGCTTTGGTCGATAGTTATAGATCGTCGCGCGAGTTCCTATTTAGATCTTTCTGAAAGCTGGAAAAGTTTCATCCAACCAGAAGGTTCACTGTGTCTGAGTATTGTTCAACGACTAACACGTTCACTAGCGTTTTTCTGTGACCTTCACAATTGTAATATTCTATCCTCGACAAAGCTTCTAAAAATTGAATGTTAAAACATTATAGGAACAATTGAATTTCCCTTGTAAAATACAACTGTCACAAATATGCGACGCTGGTACCGAACGTGTTAACACTAGGTTTACATTTATTGTACAGTTTATTCTGTTCCTGAAATTGATATTCGTTCATTTAGATTTTGGAAATTATAAATGTAGAAATAGACAATCAGGATTCATATTCGTAATTGGATCAACGAAAACCGATTGAAACATTTACCAAATATTTATAAAATTCAATCTGCGTCAAATTGACGCATTCCGTAAACCTAGTGTTAAGCGACTAAACATTCGTCAGGGGACCGATCATCCATTCGAAACGCGACGGGTTTCTTGCGGACGACGAGCTTAAAGTTTAGCGTACGAGGAGCCAACTGTTAACGAGCTTCATGCTTTTGAATCTACTGATAAGGAGGGAGGAGCAAGCTTAAAGATTTCGAAGTTATTCGTCAGTATCATTGATCGCAAACGAGGCGATTAAGTTGATGTTGTTCGCATGTCGATGCTAACGGTGTTCCAATGAATTAGAAACGTCTCTTGGGGGGTAGCGAAGAACTTGATGAAGAATCTTTGTAAGCCATCCGAAGTGCAGTTCTCAAAATATGGAACGTACGAAATTGAATAATGTTCTCCTGCCATCAGAACTTTTTCTAAATTAATGGAACACGATTTGTACCCGCATGGATCTTGCCATTTCTTTATTATTATTATTATTATTATTATTAATATTATTATATTTAATCATACGAAACCTCTAGTCCTAGGTTACTTTCGCTTACACGAAAGAATAAGGTTTTCGGATTTTGACTATCGCGCGACCACGCGGTTACAAGTTCTTCGCAATCGTGTCCCGAAGTTAATAGGGTTCGAATCTCATTGAATCATTCGATTTAATAATCACATGTTAACACGTTGAATTTATTCAATTAACACTAAAACTACCGAGCAGTTCAATTGACTTTTGAAAATTTCGCTTGTTCAGACTTTAATTGATTTACAATTCAATTTGCGTAGTGCTAAATGAATTTAATAATTTCTCAGAGAAACATTTGTTACCTTTCTAATAATTGCAAAAAAACATCAGGTAGTTTTAGTGTTAAACGATGATTATTTGAAAACGTTTCTATATTATAAATTATGCTACCGAATAATAATAATAATGCAAACATATTTCTTCATTTTGTGTATTTTTGTCTGAGAAATCATACGGCGTTCAACGTGTTAATTGTTGCCAAGTAATTTTCCTGGCTGAAAATGTATGAGAAATGTAGATCAGATGTTTTCCATTTCAATGGCGTCCCATGATTTGAGATTCGAGCTCTGTCAAAAATTTCCAGCGAGCATAAATCGTCTTGGTTCTTTTTCTTATTGTTTAAGCATTTATTCTTGATTACATGTATTTGTTCCTTTCCGCGCGGGCTATAGTGTAATCACTTCCAATAGTTGCAGTTATTAAGTTACAAACGGACGTAAGTTTAGAGGTAAATTGCTTAGGATTATTTAAACGAGCCGACAAATTCATTGTACAGACGAAATTGTTCCAACGGAGGTAATTGTATTTTTTATTCGTAAAGAATCTTTATTTTTTACTTACCCAATATTGTTTTTATGCGAGCGTATTTATAACATGCTGTAGGTAGAGTTTAACATGAAAGTGTGGTACAATAATTTCAGTACACTATAGATTCAGGGAAAACGTAGGACGACTGAAAAGGAAAAAAAACAGAGGGCGAGCAATTTTAAGGGTTATGCGAGATTTCTATGGATAAACAAATAAATGTGCAGTTATCGCTATTGATGTTACATAGTAACGGATTCTGTATAATAGTACAAAGGTACTTCACTGTAATTCATTGATCATACCAGGAAATCATTAGGTTCGATGGACAGAATATTCCAGTGAAAATGAATGACTTTTAATGAAGTAGAAACTCGGTAGAAATTCATGAAAGCTTCTTCTTCTTCTTCTTATTCTTCTTGATTCGTTGTTAAATCGACATTAATAAAAACTGGACCAATGTTTCTGTAAATAGTATATAAAATGATACGGAATATACAAATGTATCGTGTACTTTTTGAGTAATATTTGAAGCAGATAGAGTAAGCGAGTGAAAATATGTACATTTCATAACACCATAATGTGTACTTTCTACCGAATTTGTAAGTAGTGTAGCAATACAATACATTATATATATATAACACGCGACAATACATGAATTAAATTATTTGTCGGGTCCATGTATAACATGCATAGTACAAAAGTGTTTTAGCTTTATGTACTGGTACTTACTAAATACCAATTTAATTAAGGTGTATTCGGTATGTACCTACTTAAGAAAAAAAATAAATTATTCTGAACACATAATGGAGATTCAAGTTCAACCAACTGCTACCACGTAAACATTGTAAAGTACAAAACTGGTAATAACTGCAGACGTTACGGTTCTGATACGTTCAGAATTCCTTAACGAGAAAAATTGAAACAGAAAGTTACGTACTAAAGTCGAAGAGGTTGGCAGAATATGTAAACATTTAAAATAAACAAAACTTTTCAATATAACTGGACTTTAATTGCACTCATTTCTGTGTACTGATTGTTTCTTTAGATAATCCTTAATGAATTTGTCTTACATGCATAATGTATACACAAGCATATGACTTACCATTGAACTTTGATTTTTGACAACATTCTGAAGCAGATATTCTAATATTCCTGTATATGTGTAAGTCTTATATAGTGGTAATACACTAAATAATAAGTATTTTACACAAAATATTCCATATATTCCGCAATGTGTATACTAATTTTACATTAAAGAGTAATGTTCCTTATTTTCTATTTTTAGTTCCAAAATTTAAGTGGGTATTTTTACAATTAGTTTTTCAACTCTAAGTGCATTAGACTATAAATATGATTATGCTCTCGCGTCATTAAGCGTTGATGGCACTCTCACTTCAATTCCATCTAATTCTTTAGTCATTACTATTTGACAGCCTAAACGTGACCTGAAATCATAATTCATTTATAAGGTGAGCATTTTTGTTGAATTAATCAGATCAAATTTGAAATTCAATGTTGCAGCTAGTCTAACACTGTAGGTATTCAAATTCTGCCAAATGTGAACTTGTAAATTTATTCTACCATCTGATCTTACTTTCATGAGGCCCAGTTTAAGGAAAATATAGAAAAGATTGCAACATGTACAGTGAATTTCATCAATTCCCCAGAAAGATAGTTTAACAGCATATTACATAAAATTTTGAACCATGGAAAAAGAAGAGAAAGTTAAAAAATTTTTAATTATTTTTAACTTACGTATCTGTTAATTCGTATGCTAGATCCAACATGTCCAATTCTTCATCTGTTGGTTTGTCTGGTAGTGAATCATAAACTTCTTTCGAAAATATTAAATGGCATGTACTACAAGTTAAAGTTCCTTCACAGGCTCCTATGTAAATTCATAACATAAAACATTACTTTAATATAATTAATCATTGAATAATGTATATTTAAAGAAAGAAACTAGAACTTGGGAGAGCATGTAACTTTTAAAGAAAAGAAGGTATACATGTTTAAACAGAAAACTTGAGCTGCAGAAAGTATTGTTAAAAAATCTCTCAACTGATTGTTAACTTACCAAAGCCATCCAAATCTATTTCATTGTTTACTACAATATCTAAAATCGTATCCCCCTCTTTTCCTTTTGCTCTTATTATTTCGCCACTTGCTTTAACAAATGTTATGTTCACCCTGAAAGTATAACTGTATGTTTTCAAATAATTCCATCAACTTTGATTTAAAGTCATACATTTTTATAATCTATTCTCTTTTCATCACTTAAATATTATGTATTTCCTCCTTGCAAGAATATCATAAAATATTTTCATTACTGACTCGGATTTATCAAAATTTAAATTAAAAGAAACTAAACTGCACTGAAGGAAAGTGCTATTACTTACTCTTGTTTCTCTGAAAGTGGTTGTGTGGTCGAGGTGTGCCTTATAGCTTGACAAGAGGACAACACTGTGCCGCTTTTGTATTTTGAATAATTTGAAGCAATGGCGAGAAACGATCTCGATATCCTTTGGAATTTATTTACTAACGCCATTCTCTAATTGAAATACCATAAGTGGAAAGGTATAATCTCACTAAGCTCCGTGACTAAATCACGAAAACCGAGAGTTGGCGAAGTATATTACACTCGGCAACTTTCACAACATGCTTTCCACACGCTACTCTTACGTATCCTTATAGGTTATGAAACTCGTGACACGTGTGACGTGTACACAGCACGTGTTACAACATCCATAGCTCTTTAGTCTCTTAATATACAGACGTAAATATACGCTTTAGAAGCTCTATAGAATTAAAAAAGAATATATATAAACAGATCTGCTTTTAATAAATCTCCATTGCTCAGAGACGTACATATTAAGTCTATACTAATTTTAAACACAGAATTTACCAGTAGTGACCAGCATAGATATACACGACTGTCTGGTCAACCATAATGCACAGAGTAAACTATATCAAAAATCATTTGCCCCATAACGATAAGATCTATTAAACTGATAGCATAATCTGTGATAAAATAACGAAATTGATAAATACACTGCCCAGACGTTGATCGTTATGGAAATTTTTGTTTTTGTTTGTAGTACTCATACAGTAAAATATCCCTTAAACCGTTAGAAATGGTCACTAGTGCCATCCACGGTAGTACGCTCAAGCTATTCACACAAACCATACTTTTTAAATCTATGGATAAACTAGGTTTCTTAAAAGACCTCAGAGCTTCCGTATTTTTCAATTTTTTGGTAACTTTAAAATGGCTCAAAATGAATATTTCGAATTTTTTGATATTTTGTTACCGCCAAAGAGGGCTCAAAGCTTCATGAACTATTTTTGTCTTTCTTACTGCTTTTCTTTTTCTTTCTTCCTTCTTCGAGATTGGTGATTCCACCTATTGCAAAATGGCTCAAACTTTTGGCTAAACGATACCAAATTATCATTGCTAGGTAACGCCCGCAAATCAACTATTACTATCGTTGTTACTCCTATATACCTATTCTTGTCCTTTTCCCCATGATTGTTGGCGCCATCTATTATGAGATCTATTTATGTTATAATTTTTAACTAATATGGTAAGAATTATTTGTGCTTGTGTTTTAGGAATTGTGTGAGGAATTTATACGAAAACTATAACCTGTTTAAGAGCAACAGATATGAATGTATTGTTATAGATTTGAATTTTCAAAAATGTGGATGACGGTTTATGGTTAATTAATAGGATTAGTGAGAATATAATAAACTTGAGTTTGATCTATACAGAGCGGAATGATCTCAATTGTCAGGGCATAAACATTGTTTTATGTTTGTGACTATCATCGGTATTTACAGTTTGTCACTTCAAAGATATGTAACTGATCGGTTTCTGAAGAGTAGATTCAATCTCTAAATATAATTATTTGGATAAAATGGATGATGCTGTGCTTTACGTCCGAGGAAAAGGAAATGTATGTACGTGTATGGAGTTGGGGGTTATATTTATGGTTTCTTTTATCATATACAAATGAATGTAGAATGTATTTATATGTTTAAATGCTACAGAAACTATTAATGTTTACAGTATGCGATTATAATAATGATGTAAGATATAATTGTGTATATTATTTCGGATATATTACACATTGTATATATTTGTTTTTAAGGGTTTAGATGCAGATAATGAAAATGCTTGGGACGACACTGCGTTAATTAAAGCTTATGACAAAGCAGTGAATCTGGCAAAGGAAGAAGTTGTTAAGAGAATGGGCATGGATGTTTCAGATTCCGAAAGCAAACAAGAATCACAAAATTTGAAACATTCTCGGCATATAAATAAACCTCAGAAGGTCATTATGTTACAATAGAATTAACTAATAAGAACAATGTATTTATAAATTTAGAATTTCAAGGCTTAGTAGTGTTTTCTATAAGTATTTAGTTACATTAACCTGGAACTATATTTTCAATAGAAATGGACTGTGGGATCTCCTTGCCGTGCTGTATATTCAGGGGATGGAGAAATTTATGAAGCCATAATATCCAAAATCTATGATAACAGTGCAACTTGTATTGTAAAATTTGTAGGTAATGCATTCACAGCAGTTATTTTTAATGAACAAATAGAATCCAATGAAGTGCTTTTAAATAATGCAATTCTAATGTCTCAAGGATATGGTAACTCAGAGAAAGTAGAGTTAAGCGCCCTACTAGAATCTGAAGGGTTGCAAAGTCAGATAGCTCAGCAGAAAGATGCTGATGCAGAGAAACTCAACGAGGAAAATGTGGAGGCTCAAGTATCAGATTCTGCTACTGCAAATTCTAAAAAGTACAACAGTGAAAAAATGGAATGCGACGAAGACACAAAACCATATAGGCATCACTTTATGGCCGGACCGTCTTTTACTTCAGCAGAAGACATGATGCCCCCTGCACCTCCTCTACCACCACAATTAATGGCCAAGTAAGCTGATCTCAAATCGTCATCTGCTTAAAATCAAACATCTTTCTTTAGTTTTAACTAAAAAAAAACATATCAGACTTCCAGATAACGATGCAGATGCACTTTCAAGTATGTTAATGTCATGGTACATCAGTGGTTTTCATACAGGTAATTCTCTAATTACTTCCCTTCTATCATATTACCTACACATTAACCAGTTCATTTGGAATTCTATGTAGGTTACTATCACGGTTTGAAACAAGCAAGAAGTAATCAAGAGAAAAGAAGAAACTGTTGATTGTACAATCATTTTTTATCGAGAATATATATGTTTATTAATTACACAGTATCAAAAGCTACGCATTTACTGTTTTTCAAATTCTTCTTAGTCTTCTTTATCATTTCGGATATATTCTTCTATTCCACGTGCTGTTTAATTTATTACTTATCGTTTCGTTGGCTGGTTTGATTACCTCGCTTGCGTCGCGTATATACTGTATCGACGATATCTTATTAGCAACACCAACCACCTTCGATTTGTCTCCAGTTTTCAGTGCTTCTATTTGCTTTATTACCGGAGTCACTTGATACATCCGTGCTTGCTTGCACAGTCTTTTTATATCAGAACCAGAGTAACCGTTCAACGTACTATTGATAGAAGACAACTCCGCATTGTTCAACGGCTCAACGTAAGTCTTCAGCATCTGCAGCCTGGACTCTTCATCAGGTAACGGCACAGAAATATGTTTCTCGAGGCGCCTTAGTAACGCAGCGTCTATATTTCTATTCAATAATTCTTATTAACAATTGCAGTTCCTCGTTCGTCCCCTGACCAAGTGACCTTCGCAACGTAACCCTTACCCTGGCGTGTTAGTAGCAGCTAACAGAACAACATTTGCAAACTCGTTGGACAGTAATCCATCTAGATTAGCGAGTAGCTCTGCTCGAAATCGTCTAGCTGGCTCGGACAGCACGTTGTCCTGAGATATCGTGGCAATCCAATCTATCTCATCGATGAAGATCACCGTGGGTGCTCGTTTATAGGCAAGATCAAACAGAACCTACCATGATAATCGTTCCTCTCATTTCTTTGCTCGAACCAAGCATAGTCAACCTAAACTCGTTTCTGTCGCAGCAATGAAACTATAAACTGGTTCACGACTTACTCGAACGTATTTCTCTGAATCACCTCGCCATTTGCTGACCAATGAGCTGGCCGATACGTTGAAGAACGTGCAGTTGCACTCCGTCGCTGTCGCCCTAGCTAGCATCGTTTTACCTGTTTCCATATGTGAGCATCATCATCAATCTGTTACTCTAATGTGAATGAAGAGTAGATGATGAATATCTACACTCTACCTGTACCGGGTGGACCATACAGCAAAATCCCGCTCCAAGGGGAGAAACATCCTTCAAAGTATTCCGGGTATTTGATGGGGTACACGATGGCCTCCTTTATGGCGGTCTTACAGTCGGACAATCCCTTCACGTCGCTCCATTTCACGTTCAAATCTTTTACAATGATTTCCTGTGTACAGACCGTTTATTATTTAGGAATATTGAATTTAGTACATTTGATGTTACGTTCACTGCTGTGAAAAGCTTCAGCGTTTTGTCATTTTTTCTTTTACATTTGTCATTTTTGAATTTACCTTTGAAATTATTTCAGCTATTTTCCGCATTTCTGAGTCGAGCCCGTATAGTTCCTCGATGGACTGCGATATCGTTGGCAGCGAAGCTGGTGTCGCCGATTCAAAATGGCAGCCGTTGAATATCGGTTTCGTAGTAAACGCGAGGCTCAAGTCGTTCACGTCTTCTTTGTTCTTGTCTTTTCCTGGATCGATCCTGCTGTTGATTTTGCTTTCATTTTGGCTGGTCTCGGCCGCGCGCAATTGCGATCTGCGCGAATTCAACGTTCGTGTAACATAAATATCTAATACATCTCTTTAATACAATTTTATGCAATTTAATTTTATACAATTTCATACAATTTTTGATTCCTTACTAACTAATTAACACGTTCCGGTTTTTTAAGGGGACATTTTTTGTGAGACGTGTCAAAGAACAATGGTACACGTCGCGAGAAGACAAAAACGTAAAGAATATCAAAATATTTTAAAAGTCAGCAAAAGCTTGAATGTAACAATCTATCATTTAACACTAGAATCCGTATAAAAATTGTAACAACAGATTATTCTCAGTTTCTTCAGACAAACGTTATAGTATTCAAGTGAAACTATTTATTTATCAGATCATTCCGAAAATTAATGCTTTTGTGGTATCAATAATTCCGAAACAAGTCTGCTCACGTTGAATTCGCTGCAACAACCGGCCCGACTCTTCTGCACAGTGCAGGGTACTTGTTGAATCTCACGTTGTAATATTCCTCGTAATCCTTTAGGATAATTTCCAGATCGATGTTGTCGCAGACCTGCACGGTGCTGCACAGCTGAGCCTCAGCCATCAGGGTCGCGAAAGATTTCGTGTATCTGCGAAGAAGATCATCTCCAGAAAATCTGTTTCAAACGCATCGTTTCTTCGCATCATTCCCGCGACAATGCTCACCGCTGATTTTTCAAATAAGCGCCGATGATGTACAACAGGTGCTTGCGCCGCTGTTGATTGTGTTTCTCCTCCTAACACGAAATAGAGATTTTGTTAACCGTTTGACAATTCGTGGAAATAAATCAACTTCATTCATTTGTCTTCCTTTTAATTATTTACTTTCATTTTTCTCACTACCTGCTTAGAAATGGAAAACGGAACAATCGCGCTGTTTAGAATCTTTTCTGAAATTTACAATCTCCGTTTCTGAAGTGAAACGAAAGCGCGATCGCGCCGATTGTTGAATCGCCCCTGAATTATCGGAAAACTTTCGTATCGAAACAAGAAAACCGAGATCCGCCATTTTGTCGGGAGCAGAGTGCTAGAGTCAACGAAACTGAACGCTAAGTCCAATGCACCGTACTCCATTATCTCAAGAAGAATCGATATTCGTTCAAGTAGATCTTAGAAATTATAGATTCAACAATAGACAATTAACATAGACATCCCAGTAACTGCATTGATCAAGATCAACGTGAACATTTACCGAACAATGCTTCAGAAAAGTCGGTACTTCGAATCGACGCGTCACGTGAACGTAGCGTTAATAAACGGAAGAACGAAACAAATGTTAATCGACATTACCAATAAAATTAACGAAGAACGTGGAATGCAAGGAATACAGTTAAAAATAACGCCACGTGGAACACGGATGAAGCGTTTTTACCTTCTCGCGCAGATCGTGGCGGAACCGGCTCGCACTGGCGTCCATGCTCAGGTCGCAGTTCATGGTGATCGATTAGTGATCTCTTAGGTTCGATCGTCTCACGAAATCACTTTTAATCAGCTTCTCGAAAGAACCTGCTTCCTCCGCAACTGGACGTTTGCGGGAAAGACGCACACGGTCGTTTGGTCGCCATGGTGACACGTCGTTTGTCAGCGTAGAAGGGATTGGGACTTCCATTTCTGATCGGTCTCGTCTATTTTTCCTCTCCGCTATTCATATTGTTCCCGTTAGGATCCTCTTTCAGCCCACGTCGAAAGTTCGCGGATATTTTTTAACGAGTTTCAACTCCGGCCGCTATAGAAAGCCCACTCGAACGGACTAAGCGAATTGAAAGGGAGCAGCGAATTGCCAATAAACGCGATTACGAATCGATCCTCACACCCTTCCTTTTGTTTCGCGCGATATTGTTGGCTGTCTGCTGTTTCGCCAAGTTCGAAATTCATCGGTGCACAGGTTTGCGCTGTGTTTCTGGCCCTCGGTTGCAGCGTTTTAATGGTACAAGCGATTTTTATGTTCGAGTAGCGGAACATAATCGAGTAACAATGGAACTAACTCGTAGAGAAATCATTGAGGAACCAAGCTATTTTATTTCAACATTTCTCAAATTGATGCTTTATGTAAGGTACAATATTAGATACCAAATTTTATAGTTTTACAGTGTGAAATCAGGTAAGAGTCACATCTCGAGTGTAAGGGGTTGAAAATGTATCAATCACCGAAGCTCGCGTTTTTGGTAACTGAAATTTAGCTGGCGTACAATGTGTTAATACAATATTATACAATTTCGCAGCCATTAGCCTAGCAGCATCCTCGATAGGAATTACTCTATCGGCGATGATGCTAGTTTCCAGGTCCACCACGTGGAGGTTGCTGCGAGGAGACCCTTGGTGGTCGATGGAAATGAAAGGAAAAGACAAATATAACTAATTAACGCGAAACAAAATCCTATCGATGGGGACATAGAAAAATAAATCAAGGTCCATTCTACTTTGTCCATTTGCAAATATTAATGAACCGTTACCGGGAGTCACTATCAACCCCTTGATTATTCACTTTCTCTACTAAACTCATGTATTTCACTATCAACCATTTGGAAGAAAGCAACAAAATTTTCGATTCTATTTTAACCAGAAATTTTATTTGAACATAATACATTGACAATACCAAAATAGTTTACTTTGATCCGTGGACAACGGATAACATTGATTTTTCTTAATCTGGAAATCCTCATCACGAGTCTCACTTGTCATTACATAGCAATATTTTAATGAATTTCCCAGGCATTGTACGAATCCTCGCGGCCGCCATTTTGCGTCCTCCTCTATCTTCTCAAAACATATATATATATATATATATCCTTGTTTGACACCTCCTTGGTCCTGATGCTTCGCGCGTACGTACCAGGAACTGATGAGATGCTTTTTCGAAGGAGGTGGCATCAGGAGCTCTATCTCTGTCCTTCTCGCACAGTAGCTCCATCCTTGTCTTACACATTACGAGGATAGGGAAAAGCTTCGAAAATCCATTGCCGCTAGATGGCGATGCTATCGCGTCCTACCAAAATTGTTCCTTGTCTTACACATCAACCCTTAGCACTCCAGGTTGTTAATCTGGCAACTGCAATTTTTATAGTATTCCTAACGAAAATGAGAAATGCAACATTTCTTCGATTTTTTAGTACAAAATTTATTTGTGTGGAAAATCTAATAATTTTAGAGTAGTTTCTTTAAGATCTATTAAAATATTTAATATTAACTGGTGCGACGTTCGAGCCTACAGAGTTCAAAGGGTTAACACTATTTCTACTGAAACTGTCGAAAGACATTTAAAATTCTAACTTATAATTGTTAACACTAGATTCACTAACGTTCATTTTACCTTTTATTCCATTGTTCCTAGAAAGCTACGTGATCGTTTATATAGATCGCGAAAATTCTCTTTTCACTAAAGATCCACCTTTTCAATATTTATGATAATAGTAGCCTCACTATAAACTTGGGGGCTCATCCGGGATCGCTATAGTATGAATACTAAATTACTCGTGTAAACGTAATCGGGGAAGCAGATGTAATCAGGGGAGATCCGTTTAGCCCTGCGTCAAAGATAACGCATTCCTTTTGTTCTCCGTCCTCGGATCCGTCGTCCTTGGCGCTGTTTAGCTCCTCGTCGAAGCAACTAGCCCCGGGACACCCTTCACCGTCAGTCGCGCAGCGTTCATCCCCGGGCTACTCGAACGACCGTTCCCGAAATCGCGGAAGACGGACGATCTCCGCGCGAAATACTCTAAGGGAGGACGAGAAAAAGGATGAGGCCATCGCAGTTTCCATTCTGCGGGTCCGAGAGCATCCATTCCGCATCCGAGAGCTTGGACATTATTTTGCTTTAGAGAATGCGTTTGTTTCCGTCGGCCGACGGGACGTTGCGCTATTCTTCCGTTCGCTTGTCAGAGGAAATGTCGCGTTGCACCTTTGATTTTCACACTGGAACTAGTGGAACGAACTGCTGAAACTATTGATGCAGAATTAATAGTACTTGAAGAACCAACTTAAACAACTTGAATAACCTGTAAAATTTGTAAAACTTGTAGAATTTGTAGAACTTGAAGAACTTGAAGAACTTGTAGAACTTGTAGAACTTGTAGAATTTGTAGAATTTGTAGAATTTGTAGAATTTGTAGAATTTGTAGAACTTGAAGAACTTGTAAAACTAATAAAACTAATAAAACTAATAGAATTAATAGAATTAATAGAAATAATAGAAATAATAGAAATAATAGAAATAATAGAAATAATAGAAATAATAGAAATAATAGAAATAATAGAAATAATAGAAATAATAGAAATAATAGAACTAATATAACTAATAGAATTAATAGAACTAACAGAACTAAAGAACTAATAGAACTAGAACTACCAGAACCACTAATTAACTACAAAAATATCCCTAACAGTGAACGCGTTAAACGAACAACTTACAAAAAGTAATAAACAGCCTTATCTCGATCAATTAGCGAGACACATTTATCAAGAAAAAGTTCGTTTAACGGGAATTTTGCGACGCATTGTAATGGCTAATTGGAGAGGCCTTCCCCGTTAATATTCTCCGTTAATTAAAGCAACTGCAGGTTTACCGTTCCGCAACACTAGATACATAACGCGAAATCATGCAGTTTTTTCATGTACTATTATCCGCGTCGAATATGTAGAATCTAAGAATCTCTCGTCAGACAGTTCTAAATTTCTCGAAGATTTATGGCGTCTGAAATTGTAGGTTCTTATTCATCGATAAGTCGTCAAGGCGAAATGATACTTGAAGCAACGCGACAGGTTTTATGGCTGGACCGTATTGCCGTCGAATATGACTGCATCGTGGAAACTCTATACGCATTGTGATTATCTCTGGAACAGTGCACGCGAATAGAACGATGGAACTTTATTGTACGATGAATCGTATCATTTATAGACACGTTGTTTCTGTTATGAAATGTTCTACTAGATAATTTGACTTTCTTTCTTTTCAGATATTGTTTAGGAATTTAATGTTCATCTGTTATTGAATAAACAAAAATAAATAAATGAAATCAATGCTGGTATAGATGTTGCGATTGGATTAATTTGGAAGGGGATGTTTTTAGTGATTTCGTAGGTGTGCGTTGTATTTTTTGGATTTAATAAATAATGATACTTCTTTATTATTTGTTAAATAGAATACAAATCTTATTACAACAGGACTATTAACATGAAGGACAAGACAAAACAAACCAACCAACTAATAACAAAATCGTTACTCAGAACAACAAAATAATATATATATGCTATACTTTTATAACAGTATTATTCGTTTGAATTTTTAGTTGGCAGCATTTTGACATTTATTCTGTCAACGTGTATTAATCTCTTTAGGGAATATGTAAATAACTGTCATAATATGTTACGTTCACCCCTAGAAGATTAGATGACGAAGCCTTTTAACCCCTTACCTCACGACGTCTTACGGGGGAGATCAAAATATTTATTATTTTATTATTCAATTAAACGCAGATAAGCTAGTACAGTATCTCTAACGAACTTTGTTAATTCAGAAGGGAGTGAAAGTTTTATGGAACTGTATCAAACGTGCTAAAGAATTCTCTGACAAGGAGTCAACGACTATCTTATGAATCATTCAAAGAACACTAAGAAACGCTCTACTGAAGATCAAAGAAAATTTTGGCCATTTCGAACCCACCACCCAAAAATCAAAGAAAATCTTGCCTAATTCAAACACACCACCAAAAGGTCAAAGAAAATCCTACAACCTTCAAACTCACCACCGAAAAAGAAAAGAAAATTCTACACCCTTTAAACACACCACCCAAAAACCAAAGAAAATCTTGCCTAATTCAAACACACCACCAAAAGGTCAAAGAAAATCCTACAACCTTCAAACTCACCACCCAAAAATGAAACAAAATT